CCTTAATAAGATGACAGTTAAAAATTACTATTCATTATTATTAATTAATGAGATAATCAATCAATTATCTGCAGCAAAGATTTTCTTAAAGATTGATATACAGAATATCTATCATAGAATCAGAGTTAATAAAGACAACATTTGAAAAATAATTTTTTATACTAAGTACAGCAATTTTAAATATCTTGTTTTATCTTTAATCTTTATAACACTTCAGTCATCTTTCAGATCTATATAAATAAGACACTGCAGAGTCTTGTTAACATCTTCTACATAGTATATCTGAATGACATTCTAATCTTCTTGAAAATGAAGAAAGAACATGATACTCATGTTCAAGAAGTGTTAAGTTACTTAAGACAGTATCAACTCTATATAAACACTGAAAAATGCTTGTTCTACATGTAAAAGATTGATTTCTTAGATTATATTATTAAGATGAAAGACATTTCAATGAACAGAAGTCAGATCTCTACTATTAAGAACTGACTAATACTGTGAATATACTGTGAGATGCAGATGTTTCTAGAATTTGTGAACTTCTACAGATGATTCATCTATACATAGTCACAGATTACTGTCTCTCTTACAGATCTATTAAAGAAAAGTGTGAAAGACAGAAAAATAAGACTGTTTATTCTCATTCAAGATACTGTGCAGATATTTATAGAATTGAAACAGACTTTTACAGATATTACAATACTGAATCACTTTAACTCTGACTTACTCAGTCAGTGTGAGACTGATACATCTGAGAATGAGATCTGTGAAATCTTTTCACAGTTGATACTGAAGATCTTTTAATATTGAAAGAATCAGAGAATAATCATCTCTGAGAATATAGATAATGAAATATCTGTAAGAGAAGACTTTTTCATAGAGTCTATAAGACACTGTGAATAAAGATCAGTGATTTTCTTCTTTAAGAAGTTATTACTTATACAGAGAAGATATAATACTTATAATTAAGAGATATTAGTAATTATTGAATTCTTTAAGATCTAACAATATTATCTTTAGAGTAGTAAGTTCTCAGTGTAAGTTCTCACTAATTATACAAATCTGTGTTACTTCTTAAAAACAAAGAGCTTGACAGAACATCAAGTCAGATGAGTAAAGCTGCTTTCAGAGTATGATTTCTATATCTGATTCTGTTCAGATTAACTTAATCTCACTAATATACTATTTAAATAATCTGATTATAATATCATTAATGTGAAGAAGAATTCTATAAAAAAATCTCTGCTATTACTGCAGAAGAAGCTAACTGCAGAGAATTAGAATTCTCTAAAGCTTGAGAACAGTACTGATAAGACAGCTGTATAACTGAGATACTGTTTTAACAGATATAAGTCTGTTCTTTCTTATATATAATTATTACATGAAGATATTAAATTTTTTAGAAATTATACAGTTCACACTGAACTCTCACAGCTTAATTCAGATTATAGATAATATAGTAATAAAGCTCTAAGACATCTGTGACTAGACTGACCGCTGAGATCATGAATTTCATATTTGATCTCATTTGATCTGATCTTATACATTTCTTAGCATGAATTCCACTGAGACTAATTATTAAAAAAACATGCAAAGTGACTATATATCAGATCTTAAAATGAGATCATGACTTAGAAAAAATAAGAAAGTAATCTTATTTAATCTCATTTAGTTTCATTCTTAATATAAAGTTACTATTTTTAGATATTTTAAGTTTTTTTTTAGACTATTTTTAATTTTTTAAAAAGTAACACTTTTTGATAACACTCAAATAAGATTTAAAGTCATTTAAAGCAATAAAAATAATTTAAATTGAGAAGTAAAAATCATGATCTTATTTGACAAATGTGATAAGAGTAGACAGTAAGTTTCACTGAGACAGTATAAGACTACTATTTAATGTTAAAACAGTGTAATGAGATCAGTTGAATTGATAATGAAATTATCAAATATTCTGATCATGATCTCAGACACGGTTATATAGTCAGTCTATCTATGACTGAGCAGAAGTCTTTATAATAAGTATTAAATAAAATTAAAAGAATTAAGTTAATGTCTGATAAGATCTCACTGAGTAATATAAGATAGAAGATTTTATATAATTGAATCTTAAAAATATATAGACTATATACCTCTCTTATATACTAAACTATTATTATATTAAATTCAAAGTAATAGAAGTTCTAGACAGTTATAACTACTATCTTAACATTCTGTTCAAGATTTATAATATCTTTTATATAAGCTTACAAGTTACTCTACTATACTTAGACTGATCATGTGATTATTATTATTATTATTATTATTATTCTTTTATTATGCTTATATACAAGCAGAGCTTATGATGAGTTCTTACATGATGTTAAATACAGATTAAGTATTAGTTATACAGGTGAAAATACAGGTGTTGAGACTAGACTGACTGTGTCATCATGTCTGAGACCAGAACCAGATTTTTTGATAGTTTTATTATCAATTTAACTGATCTCATTACACAGTTTTAACATTAGATAGTAGTCTCATACTGTCTCAGTGAGACTTACTGTCTACTCTTATTACATTTTTCAAATGAGATTATGATTTTCACTTCTCAATTTAAATTATTTTTATTGCTTTAAATGACTTTAAATCTCATTTGAGTATTATTAAAAAGCATTACTTTTTAAAAAATTAAAAATAGTCTAAAAAAAACCTTAAAATGTCTAAAAATAGTAACTTTATGTTAAGAATGAAACTAAATGGAACCAAATGAGACCACTTTCTCATTTTTTTCAAGTCATGGTTCCATTTTAAGATCTGATATATAGTCACTTTACCTGTTTTTTTGATAGCCAGTCCCAGCGGGATTCACGCCAAGAAATGTATGGGACCAGACCAAATGAGACCAAACATGAAATTCATGGTCCCAGCGGCCAGTCTAATGAGACTACTATCTAATATTAGAACTGTGTAATGAGATCTGTCAAATTAGTAATAGAACTATTAAAAATTCTGGTTCTGATCTCAGACACAGTCACACAGTCAGTCTAGTCTCAGTAAGACTTACTATCTACTTTTATTACATTTTTTAAATGAGATTATAATTTTTACTGCTTAATTTAAATTATTTTTATTACTTTAAATAACTTTAAATCTTATTTAAGTATTATCAAAAAGTATTACTTTTTAAAAAAATTAAAAATAGCCTAAAAAAACCTTAAAATGTCTAAAAATAGTAACTTTATACTAAGAATGAAACTAAATGAGATTAAATGAGATCACTTTCTTATTTTTTCTAAGTTATGATCTCATTTTGAGATCTGATATATAGTTACTTTACATGTTTTTTTAATAATTAGTCTCAGTAGAATTCATATCAAGAAATGTATAAGATCAGATCAAATGAAATTAAATGTAAAATTCATAATCTCAGTGATCAGTCTAACTATACTATTACTAATTCATTCTCTTCTTAACTGACTTTCAACTGATAACTTCTCTGATGGCTGAATGATTAATACAGTCACTCAGTAGCATCTTGACATGGGAAATCAAGGCATGTAAGTTCAAAACCTGCAGAGAATACATTAAATCTGAAATCTAAGCATCTCAGATTTCTAATAAATACAGAGATGTACAAATCACTTCAATAAATCACTCGATGTTTCTGAGCTTAGAAGTTATTATTGCATGTATCTAATTATCACTTCTTTATATATCTTATGTTCTTATTATCTTGATGTGATCTCATCACCTGTATTTCCTTCTATATAATCAACACTTAACCTGTATTTAACATCATGCAAGGACTCATTATAAGCTCCGCTTGCATATAAGTCTAATGAAAGAAGAAGAATAATAATAATAATCAACTGACAACTGTCAGAGATTATAGAAGAAGATAATAAACTTAAATAAGAGATTGAGAATATTTTTAATAAAAGACTCTGCAGCTGTAGCTGATAATATCTTGTGAAATAAGTTAGTTATAATTATCTGATGTAAATCTCAAGCTTTACACTATCTAAAATAGCAGCTTTTAACTGATAAGAACTAGATGTCTGCAGCTCTATCACTCAAACCTCACTTTTAGAAAGAGAAGACTAATGTAGTGAGCTATATCTGATTAATAGATTATTTTATTACACTTCATAGATTCCTGCTGAAAGCTCTGATTCTCAGTCACTGATTCTTAGCTGAGAAACTTACAGAGCTTCTATTCTCTTATCTCAGAGCTTTATCTTGTACATGTATAAATATTTACTCTTATTACTGATTCTTACATCTTCTCTTCTTTTCCTTCTCTAATGTTTTCTATTTTTATTATATAAGTTCTATATCTAATTCGGTGTAGACTCATTACAACAATATTGATGAAAGAGAAAGAAATGTAGGAGAGAGTGAGAATGACTTACAAGTTACAGTTATATATTTCTCATAGTAAAGACTTCACAGTTATTATCTAACTGTTACTTTTCTTTATACATAATTTTCTTTGTTTCTATTTTTGATTTCTTTTTTTTTCTTTTTGCATTCTTTATACATTCTTTGTATACATGATTTTCTTTGTTTCTATTTTCAGATTCTTCAAAATACTGAATTGAAACTGTTTTCTTTGACATTGTTAGCAGCTCTTGAATATAAGAATTGTTTCTTTCTCTGAATATATTTTCATTTCTTAAGTCTATTGACTTTGTATTGAATACATCTATTCTATCTCTCTCCTGATTTTAATTTTGCTTTTCTATTTTTACATAATATCATCTGTCTCTCTTGCTGTAAAAATGTTGACTCTCTTAAATTATCTCTGAGCCAAGATTCAGAAGTCTGCTACAGAGCTCAGTGTGACAATCTTCTCATGCAGTATCAGAAGCATGAAGAGAATGAAGTAGCAGCTTTTTATAACTGAATGAAGATGAATGAAGCATAGCATTTCTTGATCTCTTGTATAACTAACTCTTGGCCTGTATTTAACATCACACAAGGACTCATCATAAGCTCTGCTTGCATATGAGTATGTTCTTTTTTAAAAAAAGTGCAGATCTGTACAAAAAGAATGAGTACACACCTCCGCACCGAACAGGCCCTATATCTCTTATTTATTATCTATGATATGCTATTAGTTCTTCACAATGTTCATTCTCATCTCACAATGGCTGTTGAACAGGTGTGAAACATCATGGGCGGCGGTGGGCGGTGCGGCGTGGACTCGCCCTCCAAAGTTACAGGTGGAAAGACAGCCGTTTCTGGCGCCAAAAGTGGTCATTTTCAGCGTCATTTTCACGGGTCCTCATATTCTAATTGTAACCTTTCAACTCTATCGGTACATGGAACAACCCAACTCAGAAGAGATCACAGAAAAGAGATGAGACAGACGCCAGGCAAATGCATCCCAGAGGTAAGAGAAACCCCCACGGGAGAGTCACAAATAAAAACAAAAGAGAGAGAAAGGGAAAAAACAGAAACAGAAATCACGTCAAGCACATCACGGATATATCATGAAATCCATAAAAACACACACGGAAATTAAAAAGATATACATCATACCACAATCATATATAGCTGAAAAACTACTCCTACTATTTATGTATTAAGTGTCTGCTCTGCATTGCTAAGGTCGCTTCGCCTTTATAAAAAGAAAGCAAGTGAAAAAAAGAAAATAAATGGAAACAAATGGGAAAAGCAGAAAACTTTTGGGTGCGTTCGCCAACGAACAAAAAGGAAAAACTATTCTTGATCGGCTTTTGCTTTTCCCTCGGAGATAAGTCCACGAAGTGTAAACAAATCCGTATAGAAAGTGGGTTAAACCGACCAGTAACCGGTCACTTGAACCCCCTGTCACGATGCCATGACCAATGCCAGTAATGCCATGCGACAGTAGAGCCCATATTTCATCTGTAACAGTAGAAAAAGAAGGAACAGTTAGTAAGAGCGAAAAAAGATTTTACAAAATACAAAGATGCTAATCTTTTTTTTTTTTTTTTTTTTTTTTTTTTTCTATCAGAAAAAGAAAAAGAAAACAAAACTCACCTGTCGGAAATAAGCCGCGCGCTGGTCAAAATCGACCTCCTCGCAGACCTCCTGGTTGCGCGGCAGAGGATGCATAACGATCATCTGGCTCTTCGCATGCTTAAGGACTGTGTTATCGATGACGAATGCATTCTTCAACCGCTCATACTCGCCCAAGTCCTCGAACCGCTCCTTCTGCACCCGGGTGCAGTACAGCACATCCGACCGTGCGATGATCTGCGGAGTAAGCTCCGTCGACTCCAGGATCAGCTGGCCGGACGAGACGAGCTGTTGACGGACCTCCTCGGGGACAGCGAGCGCCTTGGGCGAGACGAGCTGGACGCGAACTTCGTAGAATTGGAGGAGTTTGACGAGGGAGTGCACGGTGCGGCCGTATTTTAAATCGCCGGTAAAGGTAATTGTGATGTCGTTGACGGTGCCGAGTTCCTCGCGGATGGTGAAGAGGTCGAGGAAGGCTTGGGTGGGGTGTTCCATGGCTCCGTTTCCGCCGTTGATGATGGGAACTGGAGAGAATTTGGCGGCGGTGGCAGCGCTGCTGTCATCCGGATGACGGAGGACGATCGCGTCGCTGTAGCAGCCCAGGGTGCGTACAGTGTCCTGAAGGGTTTCGCCCTTTTGAGTGGACGAATGCTCAGTCGCGACGGGGATGGTGCGGCCACCCAGTCGTTGCATAGCGGCATTGAACGAAGCAGACGTACGAGTGGAGGGCTCGAAGAAGAGGGTTGTGAGGACGCGGCCCTTCAGGATGTCAAGGACACCATGGCGTTGGACACCCAGCCTCATCTCTTGCGCAACCGTGAATAGAAGGTGAAGATCTGGGCGGGTGAACTGGCTGACAGATAGGATATGCTTCTGCTTGAAAGACGATTGTGAAAGCAGCTGTTGCAATGAGGGTGAAATCCGGGACGGATATGGGTAAATCGGAGCGGCAGGCACAAAGTCGTCTCCTGAGACAGATGGAGCATATCCATCAGGAGCAGCAGGTTTGAATCTCGACGGGCGCTGAAGCGGTGTGGCCGAGAAAGACAAACGTCTCCCAAAGGCACTTTCCGATCGAGGAGAGGTGGGAAGAATGTCTTTGACTGCCGGCGATGCTGGAGCCGGTGGCGCTAACCGATGAGAGGACATGTCGGCCCCCTTCGGTGCATCCAGCATCATTTCACCGTCCAAGCAAGAGGTCTTCCCCTGGAATGTAACTCGTCGGACGGATGCCTTTAGAGTCTTACCGGCAAATGGTGACCAGACATCATGGCTCTGGAATACATATGGCCTGTCAAACTCGATCTCCACGGAGGCATCTGGCTGGTCATGAAGTTCAAAGATCCTCTTCGGGTTATCGTGGAGTCTGGCGGTAACATCCTCGATAGTTAGTCGCCTGTCAGAAACTGCTGTGAAGAGCAGAGGAAGCGCATCCTGGATCCCAACAGCGGGAGAAGCATCGCTACCCGCAACCTGGTATGGAAGACTACCGATAGAAAATATATCAATCGTATCCAAGTGCTCCCAGAGCACTTCTTGGTCTTTCTTCGAAGGAAGGCATGCGCAACCAGGGTAATCATCGGTAGACAGGAAAAGGGAGTAGATTGCAACATCGCAAGTCACTTTCAGACCCTTTTCCTTGCTAAGCGCAATCAGGCCCATGTCCTCTTTGCTAGTAACGCTCATGACGTGGATATTGCGATTGTGAAGACTGGCAAGCAGCAAAATGGAAGCCAGGTCCGTAGCTTTGGCATCGGTGATTATAGGTTTATTGGTCGGCCATGATGCAAAGTGCGAAGTAACCGTTGCCACCTTGTTGATGTTGCCTGATAGGTGGTTGAATGGGATAAATAACGAACCGACTTCACTGGTGACTAGGCCGAGCTTATCTGAATTATTAGATGTTGCCGTGACAGAGAGGTTGAAATCGCAGTACGATCCCTTTGACGAATTATGTTGGGCCGTTCTCAACGCCTGAGAGTCAGTAACGAAGCTATCCACGCCCACGGGCATGATGCGGACCATGCTAAAACCGTTCGCAATGGAAGCCTTAGTCACCACCTGGAAATCTGGAGAATCTGGGTTAGCGAGTCCTGGCACGAACGCTGCGACGTTGATTAGGCCGGGGATAGTAACAGCGCGATAGCTCGTTTGGCAATCAATGCTCATCACGTTCATAGTGTAATGGCGTGCAATCGCTTCGATCAGGATTTTCGCGTTCTTAACGTTGGTGACTAGCGGGGTCTGGTAGTCGACTGCCATTCGCCGTGTTCGATAGCCCTTGCTCATGTAGTTTGCAGGCCGCCGGAACCTATTGCTGGAGGGAAGATTGATGTAAAGATCAATCAGATTGTTGGCCAAATGCTGCGTAAGAGAATATTCAGACTTAAGGTCCTCCTCCTCTCCCGCAAGAACTTCGAGGTATTTGACCGGAAGTCCGTGCTCTTTGAGATAGTCCGCAGTGCCCGCCGTGGCAAAAAGGTTGTAGCCAAGCGCGTGCAGCTTTCTGATAGACGGCAACATCTCTACCTTCTCCTTGAAGGAACCGATGGAGAACAGGACGTTCTTTTTCGGAAGCTTGAAGCCAGTCGAAATCAGAGCTTTGAGATATGCCTCATACCTGTCACGACCGAAGCAAGCAACTTCACCGGTAGAAGCCATCTCCACTCCGAGCACGGGGTCAGCACCAGAGAGGCGGGAGAATGAGAATTGCGGAACCTTGACACCGACGTAGTTCTTGGGAATGGTTACCGGCGGGTACTCAGTGAACGGCTTGCCAATCATTGCCATCGTTGCCATTTCGATCAAGTCAACTCCCATGACTTTGGAAACGAACGGGAAGGATCGAGATGCTCTGACATTGCACTCGATAACTTTAATGTCGTTATCTTTGGCGATGAACTGGATATTGAAAGGTCCAGTGACGTTCAGGGCATTGCCGATCTTGCGGGTCGCTTCCTCGATTCGCCGGACGGTTTCCGGGTCCAAGTCCTGGGGCGGAAGAATCAAAGTAGCATCGCCAGAATGGACACCCGCATTCTCAACATGTTCTGAAATAAAATGGCCGACCATAACACCATTCTTGGCAACTGCGTCCATTTCAATTTCCTTGGCGTTCTCTATGTATTTGGTAATCACCACAGGGTGATCACGGGAGACCTCAACAGCCTGGTTGAGGTAGCTTGCAAGATCATCCAAAGAATAAACCGTGTTCATGGCAGCACCAGAGAGCACGTACGAAGGCCGCACCAGTACTGGGTATCCAACCTTCGCACAGAATTCGGTGGCCTCCTCGATACTGGTCAATTCCTTCCAAGCTGGCTGATCGACCTCAATATGGTCAAGGAGTCGCGAAAATTTGTACCGATTCTCAGCTGTATCAATCATCTCCGGAGATGTACCAAGGACATTAACATGGAGTCTGTGTAAGGGAAGAGCGATGTTGCTCGGTGCCTGTCCTCCCATAGATACAATAACCCCGCTTGCAGACTCAAGTTGGTAGACATCAAGGACGGACTCCAAATCGATATTTTCAAAATACAGTCGGTCTGCTTCGTCGTAATCTGTGCTGAGAGTCTCGGGGTTGGACTTGACGATCAATTCAGTTAGCAAAATACTTGTCCAGGGTCATTTTATTTTCTTTGGGCTTGACAGGGGTTATTTGGAAAAGGGTGCGTTTTTGAGTAAAATTGGGTTTTTTTAGGGGGTTGGGTTTTGAGGCGACTTGATCCTCTCTTGGGTAATCTTGGGCTCTTCAGGGGTATTGGTCTTCTCTTGGGGCTCCCCAGGGGTATTCTGAACACCGTCGGCATTCTCAAGAGCGAGGTTGCTCATAGAATTCTGCTTTTCCAAGCTCCTCTGATACCGATTGGTCTTTTCATGACGGGTAAGATTGCTCTTATTGTGGAAGCCAACGTTACATGGTTTGCAAACAAAGGGGTTCAGGTGCTCCTTGGATTTCCGGAGATGCTTCGCAGTTTTATCATGCTTATTCAGCCAATTTCTGCATGTAAAGGAAAGGTCGCAGAGCTTGCAATGATATGTCTGCTGCTCCACTTAAACTTTCCTCCGCTTGCCCTGTCTCCAAGTGTCTATCTGGGTTGTTCGCTCTGGATCGCTTCACTCGCTCATGGGCTGCCTCAATATAATCCGGATAGTTCCCTGCCATCTGCTTATAATGCCAGCTTGAATTGCCGTCCCGGTGGATTTCACGATGCTTGATTTCGCGTTCTTTTGCATATATTTCATATTCCTCAGGAGACAGGTCGAACTCGCCGCGAATGCCTTCGTCCAAAGCACAATGACTGCAGACGCCGTCATATTCGAGTTTTTCGCGATCCCAAAAACAGATATGGCCCATCCTGTAGTTTCCATTTTCGCACTCATCGCCCAGAATATGTGCAAGGGTGGCTTCGAGAATTAGAAACATCAGGCGGCTGGCAGGTTGCAGAGATTCGGGTGGTCACAGAGTCAGCAGAGTAGCCCCTTGTTGGTGATGGAATATCCCTCGTCCAATGCAGATTTGACCAAATTGGGAAGAAAGACACCATCATCGTATTGCTTGAGGCGAGAGCGTACCCCAAAGTATGTGGGCGTCCCAGTTGGCGTTGCGGGCCCTAGTAAAGTCGAGGGCGCTTTCCGGGATTTTCCATTGTAATAGCGTAGATAACCCAGGAGAGGATGGGATCAGGAAAGAGGGACCGAGAGTACTCGAAGGGCGGGGTTTGGGGCTTTCAGCAGGTCAAAAATGCCGGAGACAAAGGAGAGAGAGAGAGATCCCCTCAGCAATTGCCTCCAGCTCTTCCTGGCTATAGAAGTTGCAAATAGAGGATGTTTGAAGCGTGGACGGGGATCACAAAGGCATTTCCAAGCAACAAGCTGATGAGCTTGAATACCGTCGGAGCAGAGAACACAGGAGAAGCCATAGAAATCGAATCGTCTCAGGAGCAAGCAACCAGGAAACAAACTGGTGGAGGCAGAGCAGCAGAGGACCTTGGGGAGCTTTTGGGAAATCTTGCAGAGCTTTTGAGAAATATAGGAGATGGTGAAATCTAGGAGATTGTGAACCTGGAAGATGGTGTGAAGGCGTGGGAAGATGAGGGAAAAGACAATTGTCGAGGTGGGAAAAAAGGGGGAAGGGGAGGCGAAAAGTAGGGTTGTCCAAAAAGGGAGGAACGACGTGATGCGACTTACATTCACCATCACCGTCTTAAAACCCTGCTCTCGAAGAGTTCGAATGGCTCGCACAGAACACCAATCAAACTCGACAGAGGATCCAATTCTGTAGACACCAGAGCCAAGAACCATAACACCTTGGTCGTTAAAGTCCACATCGTTTTCGGAGCCGTTGTATGTCAGATACAAGTAGTTCGTGAATGCCGGGAATTCAGCAGCGACGGTATCAATTTGTTTGACCACGGGCACAATGCCTGCTTCCACTCTCAGTCGCCTGATAGCCAACTCATTGGAGCTCAAAAACTTCGCCAGTTGCCGGTCCGAGAAACCGAGCTGCTTCGCCTGTCGAATGAGAGAAATGGGTGCTGTAGTGGCGTTGTAACCAGACATTAGTTTTCCAAAATCGCTGAGGCCTTTCAATTTTCGGAGGAACCACTTGTCGATTTTGGTCAATTCCCAGATATCGTCGACAGTGTAGCCCGAATGCATGGCGTTGGCGATAGCGAACAGTCGCTGATCGGAAGGTGTTTGAAGCTCAGCCTTAATCGACATGAGTGCGTTGGTCTCGTTGAACCCAAGATTGTGAAAGTCGACAGAACGTATGGCTTTCTGAATGGCCTCCTCAAAAGTCCGTCCAATGCTCATAACCTCCCCAACACTCTTCATTGAAGACCCGAGCTGCGTGGAGACACGGGTAAACTTCTTGAGATCCCAGCGGGGAATCTTAACGACGACATAATCAAGAGAAGGTTCAAAGCAGGCACATGTGACTTTGGTGACTGAGTTTGAAATCTCATTCAGCGGGATTCCGAGGCCAAGTTTAGCCGCGACGAAAGCGAGGGGATAGCCTGTTGCTTTAGATGCGAGTGCAGATGATCTTGACAGGCGAGCATTGACCTCAATAATGCAATACTCTTTTGAGAATGGGTTCAATGCATATTGAATGTTACATTCACCCACCACACCCAGATGGCGGATGACATTGATAGCAGTCGTTCGAAGCATATTGTAGTCCTCATCAGAAAGGGTTTGCGACGGGGCGACGACAATAGAATCGCCAGTGTGGATACCAAGCGGATCAAAATTCTCCATGTTACACACAGTGATGCAGTTATCACGAGCATCGCGGACCACTTCATATTCAATCTCCTTCCACCCTTTCATACTCCTCTCAATAAGAACCTGTGGGCTTGCAGCGAAGGCTTTTGTGCACAGCTCCCGCAGCTGCTCAGGATCCTCGGCGAAACCGCTTCCAAGGCCACCAAGAGCGTACGCAGCACGGACAATGACGGGAAATCCAATATCCTTGACAACTTCCATGGCTTCCTCGAGCGTGGAAGCAGAGGCGGATTTGGCGCACTTCTCACCAAGGGCTTCCATGCTTCTCGCGAATAACTCGCGGTCTTCTGTCGTAATGATGGTGTCTATCGGAGTACCAAGAACTCGAACGCCAAGTTCCTCGAACTCATCTTTGAGCTGAATACCAACCTGGAGCGCAGTTTGGCCGCCAAATGTTACATAGATGGCATCTGGCCGTTCGTGTTTGATAACCTTGCGGACAAAGTCTGCGTTGACTGGTAAGAAATAGACCTTATCTGCAAGGCCCTTGGAAGTCTGAATCGTCGCGATATTGGGGTTAATAAGGACGGTGTAAATTCCTTCTTCTTTCAAAGCCTTTATGGCTTGACTTCCAGAATAGTCAAACTCTCCAGCTTGTCCGATACTGAGACCACCGCTACCTAGGATAAGGGCTTTCTTAGCGCTCACTCTCGGGTTTGCAAGCTCGTTCTCTTTAGCGGTGGCGCCAGGGAAGCTAACGGGCTTCTCTAAGGCACTAGGGAATGCCACGTTCGTTTTAATAGCATCGATGAAGACATCGAATAGGAACTCTGTGTCCTGGGGTCCTGGGGCGCTCTCTGGGTGGAATTGGACACTGAAAAATGGGCGGCTAACGTGTCTGATACCTTCGTTGCTTCCATCATTAGCGTTGACAAAGAGCTCCTCCCATCCCTCTGGCAATGTCATAGAATCAACTGCATATCCGTGGTTTTGCGAAGTAATGTAACAGCGACCGGAGATAAGGCTGGTACAGGGGATATTTTGTCCTCGGTTACCGAACTTCATCTTAATGGTAGACGCACCCGCAGCCCGGGCAAGTAACTGGTGTCCAAGACAAATACCAAAGATTGGAGTGCGCGAGTCCTTGATGGCGGTTCTAATATTCTCCACTGTTTTGGACAGGGTGGCGGGGTTGCCCGGGCCGTTGGAAAGGAAAAGGCCGTCATATTCCTTTCCTGCCAAGCTGGGGAAATCATAATCCCATGGTACAACAAGGAGCTCGACGCCGCGAGCGAGAAGGCACCGTAGTTGGTTATATTTCATACCAACGTCAACGCACACAACTCTGATCGGGCGACCACAGGGGTGAGAAAGGACCGAATCCTTTGGTGGGGAGAACAGCTGGGGTTTCCTAATAGAGACTGTAGAATATACCAAGTCAGAGGACGGAGCCTTATACCACGGGTGGGTGGCGTATTAATCTCACCATCGTTGACCAGGTTCCTCTTATCAGGGTCCATCCATTCAATTTGTTCAAAGGATGCTCTCCAAAGATCGGATTTCTCTTCGTCATCAACAACAGCAGTAGTCGAGCCGTTTTTCGGCGCGTCGCTATTCAAGGTTTCAACACTCACACCGGGTTTCTGCAAAAGCATGCGGCCAAGCATGCTTCCCTTCTCTCGAATTCTCTTTGTGAGGGCGCGGGTATCAACACCATACATGGCAGGAACTCCTTGTTCCTTCAACCACTTCCCGAGAGACGACTCGGCCAAGAAGTGCGAGTAGTCCTCTCCGCAGTAATTGGCCACTACAAGACCAGCAACATGGATCTCACTGGACTCGAAATATTTGGGCATATCTTGCCCGAGGAGCTCATCAACCGTTTCTCGCGAAGGGACGCCATAGTTGCCTACCAGCGGGAAGGTGATGATCAAGATCTGGCCACGGTAGGAAGGATCTGTGATTGATTCTGGGTAGCCCACCATGCCAGTTTGAAAAACCAACTCGCCAGCAATGCTCGCTTCGGCACCAAAACTGTAACCCTGGTAGACGGTGCCATCCTCCAGCTCTAGGGCATACCACTTGCTCCCATCTCCCCCTTCGCCAGCCATTGGGGCAGAGGCGGGGGGGATAGCACCGCCATTGAGGGAATATGCCGTTTGGGGAGCGAGGGAAGGCAGGTCTTTATTCTGGGTGGTGTATGCGACGACGCCACCAGAAGCAGGGCTGGACGGAGTAACAGTAGTATCGGTTAGTCGTCTGCTCCTGACGGAATGAGACTGGCCAGGAGAGCTTTTGGCATCCCCAGCGGCATTGAGAAGCGGCATTGTTGGGGGAGATGTCCTGTGAGGGACGGTAAGCCAAAAGCGGGGTGATGTTTAGCGGAGCATCAGCGTGAAGGAGCACGGGACAGGGTGAAATGGCAGATGACAGGAAGCAATTGGAGTATTAGAGGAATGTAAAAAGAGAGAGGAGGTTCTGGAAGGGGGGAAGGGGGGAAGGGGGAGAGCGAGTGTGTGATTTTGAAGTGGGTGAAAAAATAAATGGTGACGCCCAGTGGTCTTAGTCAGATTCTTTCCGCTCCATGAGTGGCCGAGGAGCGGACCAATCGGAGACGCTGAAGGCTTGGCTTGGCGCTGTTCCGGGCTTCCCATTGGCTGTAAGTTTAGCCGTTCTTGGCATTAAAGAGCCTCTGGGGCGTACGAAAGGTTCAACGGGTTTCTCCTTTGACAAAGAGTTGCTACAGATAGACAGATAGACAGGACAGATAGACGATACCTATGTCTCTTCAACCTCCTCAACAAGGGTCAGAGAAGATCTATCTAAACCGAGGCTCAGGTTACCTCCAGCCCTTGGTCTACAATACCATAGCGCGCGTAGCGTTAAAGTTCCCCACGCCACTCAACCTCTAGGTTTTTTTTTTTTTTGTTCCCCTCCTAATAACCACCATCTTCCACCATTCTAAGTCAACGAAACACAGAGTTCAGATAATTCCCTATCAAAATGTCCTCCGCAAGGATCAGCCCGTCTATCCAAAGTATTCTTCCATAGAAACTAGAGGCGAAAACAAACTCACGTGACGCAATGACTAACCGCATCCGGCACCTGCTCTCTACAGCGTAGCTCTTTTCTCATATCGTCGAGTACTTTTTTGCTTCCTGCGAATATGTCCCTTCTCTCTGCAATTGACACTCTTGACACTCGTTGGTGTCAAGCGGGAGATCAGTGTGATGTGTCTTGTTTGGCGTTGATGTCTTTCTGGCGGTATCTCTGCTCCGTATTCGTTGTGCTCTTTGCTTATTTACTTCCCGACCGAACACCTCTTTCTGGCAGCGGTCCAAACATGATATCCCCACTCTCAAATACTCCGATTCCCATATTTTCTTCTCCTTTTAATACCCCATTGTCATCTTCCCCCCGCCCTCTGAGTCCCAGGCGGCTTAGGCAACACGATCCCGAGCAGGATCTTGAACAGCTAAACACGTTTACCCGCAATGGCGATGATATAGAAGAAGCAATAGAAGATGAAGCGGAGGAGGCAGAGGAAGATGAGGAAGAAGAAGCAGAAGAACAAGGAGACTTCGCCTATGATAATGGTTATGATGATGACGAGGACGGTCCAACGGAGGCATCTCCTCTTCTTCCTATCTTCTCAGCATCCATTCTAGGTAGGGTTATGAATGCCATGACCAGCTGGGCTATTCATTCTGTTTCATAGATATCTAATAAAAGTTAGACTCCCTTCCGACATATCCTTTAACGCATGCAATTCGTTTGTTGATAACTACTCGTTGCGAAACTACTCTGTCCTGGGATCAACTCAGATCACCCCAGGTCTCCCAGTTCCTGCTCAAGCCAATTCAACTGCAGATTCGCGGCTCTCATTTCTCCAGAGCCACTCTCTATGCGTTGATGGCCAATTGCCTTCAATTCAAAAAGGAAGTGGATTTCCATCCGGAAAATAGTGGTGCCAGCAATACCAGAGCCATGGTATGCGAATTGCTTGCCATCAAGCTGTTAAAGGAATACACTACTAGAGAGTTGATTGATGCTCTTTCATACGACTTCTATCCACTGCAGGGACAGCCTCCTCCCTTGTCTAGCAGCACCCTCAGGCCATCCAGTTGGGATACAAACCAACGTTCGAAACTGGTGTCTCCAGGGGCAGTCCGAATTTCTTGCCTCGAAATTGCCGTCCGCGCACAGGCAAAACGTTTCCTCGCGCATCCGCTTGTAGTCCAACAACTCGAAGCTATTTGGGCAGGTAACATTGTTTTCCACTTTGCTGCAGATAGTTTACATCGCCAACCAGTCACAACAAGCACAGAATCACCTCCTCAGGGGTATGGGTCGTTCTCCCAAACTAATAACAGCTATAGCCCCGGGAAACGCAGTCATGATGTGAGGCCCAACCAGAGCGTTGGGATCGGAACTCGTCGTTCCGTAACTCTCTATAACCCCCGAGATGCTTCTCTTTTTAAACTCTCCCGACTTAGAGTTCCTCGTTATCGACAGGTGCTCTCCACAATGTCCTTCGCAATTTTACTTGGGCTTTTTCTTGCAGTTATTCAAAGGCGGTCTCCCAAAATTACTACCCTTGAACTTGTGTTCTGGTTTTGGAGTGCAGGGTTTATGCTCGATGAACTTGTAGGGTTCAACGAGCAAGGATTTAGCCTCTATTTGATGAGCTTCTGGAACACTTTCGATGTGGGCATATTGCTCTTACTGTTTTGCTATTATTGCTTGAGAATATACGGCGTTGTCGCGCCTGGCCCTCTCAGGCGAATCATTGCAAATAATGCGTACGATATTTTAGCCGCCAATGCCGTTCTGCTCCTCCCACGCCTCTTCTCCGTACTCGACCACTACCGCTATTTCTCTCAGCTTCTAATCGCCTTCCGCATGATGGCTGCTGACCTCGTTGCTGTTTTCACGCTTATAGTCATTGCGTGTAGCGGTTTTTTTGTTGCTTTTACGTTCTCATTCGGCAATGGGGACTCGCCGGGGACCGTGATATACGCGCTGTTTCAAATGTTGATGGGCTTTACACCTGCGGCTTGGCAACTCTGGGATAAATACAACCCAATCGGGAAAGCAATACTTACCCTTTTCCTATTTATATGCCATTTTCTTGTCGTTACAATACTCATCACAGTGCTAACCAACTCGTTTATGGCAATTGTTCAAAATGCCAACGAAGAGCACCAATTTGTGTTTGCAGTCAACACTCTTTCGATGGTTAAGTCAGATGCTCTTTTCTCTTACGTCGCGCCTGCCAATGTCCTTGCGTGGATTATAGCACCACTTCGATTCACAATGCCGTTTCCAAAATTCATTCAATTGAACCGAACGGTAATTAAAATTACTCATATGCCGATCCTATTTACAATCTACCTCTATGAAAAGACAATTTTAAGATCAAGCGTGTTTGAACTGACTGTTCCTGTCGACAATTATCCTGCGAGGTCGAGAAAATATAATAATCGTCACAGCCACTTCGATGCGTTTACGCGACGGGGCTCGGTCCGCGTACGGGAACCATCGATTGCCACACAGCAGAAGGACCGTGCTCTTGAGGAGGTATTTCGGCGTCCTTTCAACCACCAAAACGCAAGCTATCGTGGAACGCCGATGCAAAATATCCACCACCAAAATCAGCGACAACAACAATCTAGCAATCTTGTTGACTCCTGGATGCAGAATATCGAGCCTGGAACCGGGATCGCTTCACCTGAAGAGCAGGATATGAGTACGGTAGAACGGTTGGAGAAACAGCGTCTCTGGAGGCACAATGCACGGAGGTATCGTGATCATGTACATGGGATAGTGCGGAACCTTACGAATACTACTCAGTCGATCGCTTCAGATCCAGAGGATTTGAGAAATAGCGCCGTCCGCCACCGCAGATTCCCGTATAATATATCGATCCACCCTCAAAGCCGGCACCTTCCACAGCAAACAGACATGGAGGGTGATGATGAGCTTACAAGCAGTGACAATGAGCAAGGGACTTCTGATGGCCCTGGACGCCCGTCAATGCAAAATAGTAACGGGAACGTCCAGGGAGGCAACCAATCGTCCTCAAAATCCAGTACCTGGGGTATGGTCAGCCCCCGAAAGAAATCCTCCAGGCCATCCACAGCCAAACTACTATCGCGTAGGAATAGCCCTTCCCGCCGCCTGAAAACTCCGCAGCGGCATCATTTCCGAAATGCATCTGGGGCGACAATTCTCTACAAGCCCACGCATCCCCAACCGGACGATAAGCAGGGAGCGGAAGGCGACAGTGGAGAAAATGGAAATATCACCGCAAACTCCCCTACCAAAGATCCTTACGGAAGAACCAGTGCCCCAAATATTGAAAATAACCAACATCATCGTAAACGCTCACCCAAAACCCAACAACCCGCCGTACCCTGCCCCATCATCCCTCCAAGCAAGACAAAATTCATGTCCCTCCCCGACGATACGGGTCTTGGATGGGCCGCCAGCACAGCAGCCCGACACGACACCAGCCTTCTTCCCCCTCAACACCATGACCAAAAGCCTTCCTCGACTCTAACCATGGACCTCGGGTCCGATCTTGGCGACAACAACGCCGTCGGCGGCGGCTTCGTCGGGGCGATCCCATCCAGCTTCGCGACGCAGATGGCATATGCGACTAGCGGGTTACGACGGCCCGCACCGCCGCTGACGAGTAGTGAGACCCAGGATATGTTGAGCAAATTGGTGTTGGCGCGGATGAGGACACTCGAGGAGGGATTTCGAGAAGTCATTTGGGAAGTCAAGGAATTGAGACGGGCGGGTGAACGCGAGCGTGAACGTGAATGGGACAGGAGAAAGACGAACGAAGGGAATTTTTTGAAGAAGGGGGGGAAGGCGCGGCAGGAGCGGAAGAAGAGCAGGGCAAATACGGAGATTGAGTCCGATTCTGGTAATGAAGACGGCCGTAATAGTCTTACCCGGGAACGATGAAACCTGGAGAAGGAGGAGGGGAGGAGGAAGGTAGTCGAGCGGGATTATTCAGGGGCTGCGGTGGTTCGTTTGTAATTAGTTAATTGGGCGGTTCGCGGCATCGTGTATGGTCTAGTGTTGCCTAGTTTGTTGCGGGTATTGTTTTGTATTGGTTATATATTTTAATGAGGGTTTAGACATGACATGTTAATAAATAACTAAGGAATCGGGATTTCATTTTTATAGATCTAAGAGACTTGACAATGCGGGTGGTTTGGTATATTTCACCACATTTGCCATTCTAACCGTTTTTATTACACACATCCCGTTGCATCACATCGCGTAGCGTAGCATAGCATAGTATAATATGGTGTATAATGTCTCAAGTCCATCCTGTCAAAAATCGGACATGAGATAGCGGCGGCCACTCTCGGTCTATCACACCCTCATATCCCGTTCTCTTGCAATGTTCCCGTATATCACATCCAAACTCCAGTTGTACAAGTGCTCTATTAGGCAAAGTTGTCTTTTATACAAAATCATTGGGGGTATTAACGGGCAAACGATCCTCTGGAACCTCCCTCGTTCCATAAAGGCAATGCATGCCGTGTATATATATATATATAGTACAGATGATATCGTATCCTCACGACAGGTGTGAATCCCCCAACATCCATCCCCCACGTCTCGCGCTAGATATCATATCCCTCGCTCCCTCTCTTCTCCCTCTCTCCCTCCGTCTCCTTCACTCTCTCTTTTATTTAAACAACTCGCGTCCACATCCACTTACCCCGACCGCTGCTGCTCATCGTACCGCCTCTTCGCCTCCGCCAGCTTCTGCTGCCTCATGCGATAGAGGGACATGGTAAACAGGCCCGCGCCAACGGAGGCGACCATAGCGTATAAGAAGTGGCGACCACTACGGGATCGTGTTAGTGCATGGTCCAAGGTTGCCCCCCGGGGGGGGACGGGAAAGCGTGTTTGGAGCCAGTCTTTCCGCGAGACTTACGTGAACAGCTGTTGTGGGGGCCCACGGGGCGCTGGGGGAGGGCGTGCGGCGGACATTGAATGGCAGGTAAGGTTAGGTCTCTTTAGCCGTGGACAGACACGGTGTGGGGTATGGGGAATTGAACGCGGGGGGATTTGACGGGATGGTGCGGGTGGTGATGGCGGACGATCAATTGATGCTGGCGATGTACGGATCAGTTTAAATATTTAGGTCAGTGGCCATGAAGGTTTCTAGTTGATAGTTAGTCACAGTAGTTGATAGTTAGTTGATAGTTAGTTTAACTACCTTAACTGGTGAAACTATCAAGCCAGGCGTAGGCTTGATAATAATAAAATAGCTAATACCATGAGACATCTATGAGATTGACGTACAATGAATGCCTTTTTTCTTTTTCTTTTCTTTCTTTCCCCCTCAACAGATGTCATTGTTTTTCTAACTGATTATTCTCCCAACGAAGGCCCAACGAAGACAACAAGGCTATATTAAATAAATATAGCATCCTTGCCCGTCCAAGCAGCCATCAGAGCCCTTGAATAGGCAGTGCTGCGCTGGCTTCAATCTATTTCTTTCAGTCCTACACCATCTACTGCGATGAGGCCGGATTCGAGGCAAATCCCAAGCTCGCCATCAATTTCGCAGAGATGCAATTTATTCCCCACAAGTACATACCTGTGTAATGTATAAGTACATCCATGTACTTCAATGCTATGAGTATAGATAGTCTAGGTAGTGTCTGGGCAGCCCATTACTGAGCCTCCTTTGACACACATACATATCCTAGCCTGTTGGCCCTTTTTTTTTTTTTTTATTATCTTGAGGTGGAATGCGGGTTCCTCGATAATGGGGATTCTAAGTAATATCCAATTTCTATTGGCAGTTTTCTAAGCAAGTCCACTTGGCCGTGATTGAATGTAAGTGTGCTTTTTCACAAATCATCCTCAGTGTTCCTGGTGACATTGGTTTTGATGCTGCAATTGTATATATATATTAAAGATAGGTAGGTATATACGGACTATAACTGGAGAGACGTCTTTCAAATTGCTCCAGTTTAGACAGTTGACTGATGGGGAAAAATGCATTGAAAAAAGCCCTTGCACATCGCAGAGTCAAAGTGACACTCGAACTGAACTGTTCCCGTAAAATTTCTGTGTTTAAATATGTGAAATTATGGCCGTGGGCAGGCCATAGATAAAAATCAATATGTATCCGCTGGACGAGGAGGGTGTTTTATTCGCAGGAATCAACCACGCAGCTTCACAGTTACCAACAATTGGATCGAGAGTTATTTACATTCGCAGCCTGGATTTTTGAAGGGCCAAAACATCTTTTCAACCACTTTCCACGACTGTAAGCTGTAGAGATAGTTGTTGAGACTGCGTTGGCTGCTGAAATACTCTATACTCTTATGCTAAGGTTAACTAGAGAGAGACGCGCCACCAGCGGCAGATGGCGCCAAGACGGCACTGGAATATTTAGATCCATTCCAGGTTATTTCCCAGGACCAGAAGAGTAGTAGAAGAGGTTTATTTATCACATCATACTCATCACCTGAACCATAATTAGTCACTGACTGACACTGAAACCATTTGCAAACAAAGACTACAGAAAGCTGTTAAATTACCTATTTAACTAGCTAGGAAGCATTTCACTGTAATCCATCTCATTTTTGCCTCTTCCAGTCTCCAACCTCCAAACCTCTCTCTCTCCATTACTGGCACAACCAAAGAAAAACGGACGAAGATGGCTTCTTCATCGAAAGCTCATAGCCCTTTCCTATAGTTAGTATCTCTCTCTATCACTCACTCTCTCCCGTGAAATTCAGAGGGAACCCTCGCTAAACAGTCTCCCAGTGCCTGCATTGCGCATAGAACTACAATTCTAGCCGAACACTCCTCCCCCGGCACGTCCTCCACTTCCGCCTCCTCCCTCGCCTCTATCATTCTCCCCAAAATCTCTCACGAAACCCCGCAAAAGCTCACCTACACACACGACCGCCTCTTCGTCCATTACATCGCCGACTCTCCCACCGCCGCGGCCGAAAATGGCGAACTCACCTCCTACGCCCCGCTCAGCTACCTCGTCGTAGCCACCGCAGAGCTCGGCCGACGCATCCCCTTCGCCTTCCTGCTCGAGATTCGCCGCAAATTCCTCACGGTCTACAACCCGGACAGCACCGATTTCAGCGCCATGCCCGCCTACGGCTGCGCCGCCTTCAACACAACCCTTCGCGAGCTGCTGCAGACCTACAACACGGCCCCACCAGCCGATTCGCTGGCCTCTGCGCGCAAGGAGATTGACAGCGTGCGCGGAATCATGACGGAGAACATCGAGCGGGTGCTGGAGCGTGGGGAGCGGATCGATCTGCTGGTTGACAAGACGGACCGGCTCGGGGGTAGCTCCCGGGATTTCCGCGTGCGGAGCCGTGGATTGAGGCGGCAGATGTGGTGGAAGAATGTGAAAGTGATGGCCCTGCTGGTCGTCGTCGTCGTGTTCTTGGTATATCTCTTCGTCGGGATGGGGTGTGGATTGCCTTCGTGGGGCAGGTGTTTTGGGCGGTAAAGAATCGTTTCTTTATTTCCAGGGAGTGTGCATAAATCGGGGGAAATTGATATCATGAGATCTTTCTTGTCTTTTTTTTTTTTTTTTTTTTTTTTTTTTGGAAGGATGGAGGCCTTTTTCTTAATTTCCCTTTTGTCTGGTTTTGATTTCTGGACTTTGCATTTTATTTCTTACGTCTTCAATCTTTCTGATTTCCAGTTTACAGAGCGGTGTGTTTTATTTATATCTCGTCGAGAGCGCAAGTTCTGCCCTGATTCGTCTTGTTTAGGCCTTTCCCCTCTGCATTAATACCACCGTGCTACCATGCTATCTATATATAGTATTTCTCATGCAGAATCAAAGATGTTCCATCATTTGTTTATTCGATCAACTGATGCGGGAAAATATATCTATACTCTCTTTCACCGGCTCGACCACTTTTGCAATGAAAATAAAAATGATATGAATTGTCTATTCAAAAAACAGCTCGATGCACAAGCATAATATAAACATAAAAAGTGATGTCCCTCGCCATCAAACTTGTTTCCATCATCGATATCAAGCATAGGGACAAGTCTGCAGGCGAGACTTACCCACAACCATCGCACACTTCACAATTTTATATTTATAGAATATAAAAAAGGCGAGTTTGATGTTTGGTGTTGTAAAGGTCGCTCCATGTGCGCCAGGCGTATACCTCGCTAAACCACCGAATAAAGATGTATATCTTATGGTTTGCGAGGAGATAATACTGGCAAAAAGTCTTGCATGTCTCGGTGTTGTCACGATGAAAAGGGATGGGCGTAGTAGAGGGGAAAGGACGGGAAATGGGAAAAGGATATCGTTTCTCACGTCGTTAATTTCTTGAGACCCGTTGCTTTCGCAATGTCTGATCGTTGAAGCTCTGGAATGGTATCTCCTTTTGTTGATCGCGTAGCCCATCGAACGATGGGGTGAGAAAATGCTTGGGTGTAGTGAAAGGGAGAAAGGGAGTATGCTCAAAGAAGAGGTAGTGGTATGTGAAATCCACCAGCCAGGTCAAGCATGAAACTACAGACAATTAAAAGTCATATAGTATGTTTTCTCTTTTTTCATTTTTCGTTTAGTCCATAAATGTGGTCGCCGTCCAATCCACGAACTGGGGGGAAACCTATCCGACCAGTACGTTGCGTAAAATACCCGAGTCCCTCTACACACAATCCCTCAAAGGCATGCAAAGCAAAGTGGAAAAAGGTAGAGACAAGGTGAAAAAAAAAAAAAAAACAAAAAAAAAAGAATAAAACAAGTTTAAAAAAATGTTACTTTTTTTTTTTTAATTTAATTTCCCTTTGCCACCTTCACTTCCCGACCCTTACCCATTCGCTCGAGCATGCTCTCGCGGTCCTTGTCGATCTTCAGCTTCGTGATAACAACCTTGGATGGGTGGATGCCGATGGGGACGCTCTGGCCGTTGGACTTGTCGCGGGTGACTCGCTCGACGTGTACGACGTACTTGAGGCGGTAGACGCTGGTGATTTTGCCCTCGCGGCCCTTGTTAGAGCCCCGGACGATGGTGACTTCGTCGTCTTTGCGGATGGGTATCGAGCGGACCTGGATGTTTTTTAAACACAATCAGCCATGCCCTCTTTCTCCTTTTTCTTTGTTCCACTGTTTCCATCTGATTCTTCTTCGTTTTCTTCTCCAATGTGACACTTTATGCATGTGAAAATGGTGGTATTATTTTAGAGTCCTTTCAAGATTCTAGGGTCTCGTACATTGTGCTTCTCTCTCAGTTCCTTGCTCAACGGGGCGCTCATGATGACTCGCCGTTCGCCGGAAGAGGCGCTGAAGTGCGCCTTCCGCGACTTCCGCCGTGAAGAGGCGAGTTCTATCAATAAGAAAAAAATCGTCAGTGCCTCGTAGATATAACACATGAAAAATGTGCGTCCAACATGAGGTCAATTGACCGTAAACCGCCCCATAAATCGCGCGTTAACATAAATAGGCATACGTACCTCCGTTGACCTTTGCCATTTGTGCAGATCTGAAGGGGAAAATGAGATCTGGCTCCGAGAGGGGGTGGGAAGGAAATGGGGGTGTTCAATTGTTGTCGTCGTCGTCGTCGTCGTCGTCAATATTTCCTTCACAATAATTAGCCGAAAGTGTGCAAAGAGACTGTGGGTCAGCTGACCTGGACTAGTGTCCACGGCCTACCTAGGTAGGTTCAACGGGTACACAAGCCCTATCCCACGTGACCCCCCACACATCCATATATGTATTAGCGCGATCTAGCTATCAACCAACCAGCTAGGGTTGACTGACTCAGCATTCTTTCCAGCCGCGTCTGGCGGGTACACCCGTGACAAATGAACGGCGGCAGTGAAAACGTCAACAATAAGAGACGACGAAGTGAAAAGAAGCTCAGGAACGGGCTTTAACCTGTATTTTGTTCCTCATTCTTAGTGTTGTTCATTGCGGACTGCGCCCTTTTCACTTTACCGGGTGAACACTACCTCTCCGCCATACAATCGCCGCCTATGCTACAACCCCCTCGCACTCCACCGCTTCAACCGCCGCTCCCTTCTTCCCTATGCCATACTCCGCGCAAGTGCGAGCTATAACGTGGGGGGTGGGATTCTGTAATAGAAAATCCACTTGTATGCTTTAGATATGTCGTACCCAGGATTCGGTTACTCTCCTTACCAGTATCTCTCTGGTGGGCAGAATGCTCAACCCTCATACAACTCCTTGCCTCAGATCCAAGTCACTTCAGCTTCAGAAACTCCAAATACCCAGCAAACGGCAAACCGAAGCTACGGACAGCAGAGTTATGAGTGGCAGGGCCAGAACAATACAGATATATCGGGTCAAACTCCCCAGCAGCAGCCGGAGCGGGAGAGCTGGCAGTCCTCAACCAACCCATCATCCCAAAGTTACCGCTATCAGCATCAACAACAATCGAGCTATAGTACGTCCAACGCTGCGCCATCAATATCATCATCACTGTCGTCGCAGCAAGCCCAGCAGTCCCAGCAGACACATAATCCACTCATTTCACCAACTCTAAAAAATATCCAGTATGGTTCTCCCACAGTGGAATCTATGGCTATGCACAACTCCGCGACGGATCCGCGCTCGACCACTTCCATCTCTACAAACATGAGCTACCAGATAGATCCTCCAGCGCAAAATAGATTACCGGCAAATGTTTCTCTGCCAATTGATCGTCCAACCTCTGCTCAACGCTCGAGAACCGTGGCTGCTTCAGCCATGACTGCCCTCTCTTCCAACGTTCCCGCACCCCGCGCTGCTTCACAGAGACTGTCAACCGGTCCGGCTGGCTCATCCTCAACATCTCATTCTTATGCTCCAAGCTATGGCACTCCGCTATCCAATTTAATAGCACCAAACCCCACAGCACAGCCCCCATCATCAGCCGATCCTGGACAGCCATATCGTCACCAAAATGCGAGGTCGCAATATAGTAGAGCGTCTACGGGATCAGCTCAGTCAAATATATCTAGAAACCAACAGTCCATATCCCAGCACCGCAACACGTATTCTTCTACCCTGTCTGCCGCGACACCATCCTCGTCATCAATGTACTCTGAACCTTCAGCTTCGCAACAACACCGCATGACAGGATACGACAATACCAACACTCCTCATCAACCCCCTACTACATCACATGCCCAAAACACAGCTTCAAATCCCTCCTACATAAATTCTACCTCCGAGTATCAACCGGTAAACACAAGTCAATCGCAATCGTACCAGCCCGCAACGCCAGGGTTTATCGACCCCAGTCAAATCTACAACCCATACTACCAGGAGTATCAGAAAACTAGAGTTGCAGAGGCAGAAGCGGAAGCAGAACGGCTAAAACATCCAGAGGCAGAGAAACAAAAGGAAGTGGAGAAACAGAGAGAAGTCGAGAGGCAGAAAGATATAGAGAAACAAAACGAGCCAGAGAGACGGAAGCGGTCCGCGAGAGAGCTTGAGGAGATGAAGAAAGAGAACTTGAAACGAGCTGCTCAGGCTGAAATCTCACAAAAACTAGCTGCTGCGAGGGAGATTGCGGCCAGCGTCCGAGCAGCTAATTCACAAACTGCGGAGAAGCCTAAACCAGGTCGTAAACCCGGTCCAAAACCTAGGGTACAAGCTCCCAATCCCACAGATTCGGCACAGGGAAAGTCCGGAGGGACCCAAAAAAAGCAACAGCGCCGCGCACGGAAACCGCAGGTGGAAGCTCCCGCTCTTGCTGCGCCCGACGAATCCTCGGGGATCACCCATCAAACACAATCTGTGCCCACTGCTCAACCTAACGAGGACCAGAGACAGGCGCTTTCAACGATGGTCCAAACCCCAGTTGAAGGGCAACCTGATGAAGATGAAGACCTAGAGGTGAAGTTGATGTTGGAGAAAATGAAAGAACTAAAATCAAAGTATCCGAATAAATTCGCGAAGTTACTAGGTGGACTGGAAGTGGTGAGTGAGCTCTGGTATTTTTTTTTTAATATATTTTTTTTCTCATTCAGCTTTCATACTACAAATGTCAGCTAACATTTATACCATCAATAGTCGGCACCTGTCGCCGCCCCTCCTCAAGCTGTAGAAGAACGACGGACATCCGGAGTTCTAGTATCATCACCACCACCAACTTCGGCTTCTATGAATCCCACCGAAGAGACCAATTCAATGCATGATCGTGGCAAATTCCCCGCAGCTCGGCGAAAACGAAGGTCGAAGCCTGTAAATCTAGCGGGTCATGGAGCTCAATCTTCACCTACTCGACATGATAACGGGCATCCCCCGCAACCTCCACCCGCTGCAGCTTCACAACCCGAAACAAATGAGAAAGACCAACCTACACAAATGGGTGGGCGTATGGAAATTGAGAAGCTTATAGATTCCGATGAATCTCAGCCCTCACCATTGCCAGCCCCAGTTCAAGCTGCAGCGCCGCCCGCCCACCCTGTACCAGAACCTGCGGCTGAGGCTAAGCAATCTCAACCTGCATCATTGCCAGCCCAAGTTCAAGCTGCAGCGCCGCCCAACCAGCCTGTGCCAGAACCTGCGGCTGAGGCTAAGCAATCTCAACCTGCATCATTGCCAGCCCAAGTTCAAGCTGCAGCGCCGCCCAACCAGCCTGTGCCAGAACCTGCGACTGAGGCTAAGCAATCTCAACCTGCATCATTGCCAGCCCAAGTTCAAGCTGCAGCGCCCCCCAACCAGCCTGTGCCAGAACCTGCAACTGGGGCTAAGCAAACAAAAGAAGAAAACCTAAGAGCTGCTACAATCTGGCCGGAACCGAAGCGATTAGCTCTGGCCCAGGCAGCTTCAAGATACATAGATGATGTCATTAGCAATCGCAACAAGGGCAACAAATGTCCTCCAGAGATGGTATTATCGTTGATAGATCGGAATCCGAGCTACATTGAACTCTGCGGGATGTTAGAATCTCGAGGCTACCATTTGAATCGCGTTCATTTCGCAAAACATCTACTCAAAGCTATGCCGGAGTTAACAGCAGGTTCCAGCCCTGCTGCTGGCCCGAACACAGTGGCAAATGGGCCATCTTCCACCCCTAGAAAGGGGCAAATGCAGCCTCCTCCGAGTACAGCATCTATGTCGCCACCGATTCAATATACCGGAGTCCGCGCGGGAAATAATTCCACGCCCATTCCTCTAGGATCCACAGCAAGATCAGGTGGACCTCAGGTGGTTGGAAGCAAAACGGCGCAGCCGGCTCCATCATCAACACCCATGCCACCTCCAACAAACAGAGACCCTGGATATTTCGTACCGTATCAGCTTCCACCGTCAGTTCCTTCAGAAAATCGAGTTCCAGGGTTTATAGGATCTCCTCCTCGTCAAGTTGGATTTTCGAACGGCACCCAAGCGTCTAGATCAGCAGGGCCGCATTCACTCCCTGAAAGGCTAGCACCGATTCGACACACTATAGGTGGCCTAGTTCCAAGTCCAATCGGAGGCAAGCTGAAACCTAAATTCCGTGTTCCTGCGCCACCTGCCCATATACCCGCACCTGGTTCCAAAGAGGCATTGGCTAAAAAACGCACGTTCGCGGAGATTGTGGATTTTACCCAGCTTCCAAGTGATGATGACGATGATGATTCACCACCTTCAAAAGCACCGCGCTTACAGGACGTACCACCCCAGAGCGATACAAATACGGATGTGGATGTTGAAGTGCCAGCACCTGCGCCAGAAACTCCTGAGGCACATAGCGCCCCAGCAAACACGCTCGATTTATCGCAATTCAGAATGCCAGATGCTGATTCTTCAACAAGCAATGAAACGCTACGGGGGCGTAGCGATATCGTAAAGCCGCTAAATAAGACAGAGGCCGTGAAAACGCGCTACTATGATCCGAAGACTATTGCGAGAGATCTTTTGATTGCAACCGGCCGCCACCCGACAGAGCGTGCATTGAACCAGCATCTTTCAAGACTACGTGATAATTTTCCTGCGGTTGATAACTCATCTGATCTACGAACGTTCCGCTGGGACATTGTCGATCCTGGAGGACCGCCACCACCTGAAGTCCCGCTAGTTACTGCAGTCTCCAAACCTCCCTTAATCACAGTCCGCGAATACACAAGGCCTGGAGTGGCTGACCGCTTACCTAATCCTCATTCACGTGACTCAGCGAAAGGCACTACTGGTTCTCAGCCTCCTCAGACACCTTCACAACTACACATCTCTGAAACGATCAACAAGAGTGATGACTCGTCACCTCACCTTCGGCAAGAGAGTAATAGTAATATCAATACTGAAAGCTCCGTGATGAGTTCAACGCCACAAATGCCCGGGACTCGTCGACGCGGACGGCCACTAGGCGCGAAGAGCAAGCCTAGATTCGCAGACCGAGTCGAGATCGCGATCCCGATCAGTTCATCGCCAAACACTCCCCGAACTCCATTCCACATGTATAAATGTGAATGGAAAGGCTGCGATGCACAACTTCACAATTTGCAAACCCTCCGAAAACACGCCACTCGCCTCCACGTCCCTAGAGACACGAAGATGGAAGCGCCTTGCTTATGGGCTGGTTGCCGTGACGGCAGGAATAAGTTTACGCGTGATAGCCTAGCCGATCATCTGGAGAATAAACATTTAAGCGCCCTTGCATGGACGCTCGGGGAAGGCCCCGGGTCTGTAAGATCTGGTGAGATAGGAAAGCTATTTAGCGACCCAATTGTTCTTTCTTAAATTAGAAGAAGAAGAAGAAGGGGAAAACAGAAATACCCAAGTAAATAAAAAGGACAGGAAATTCTCATTTTTCTCTCTCTCTCTTTTCCCACTTCTAGGACATCGAGATTACAACATCGACGACTGCTTAAATGATAGCAACGGGCGCGCCGTCATCGCCAGGGCAAGTGCGAAGGGCATACGGCCTACCCTGATCCTCCCCGCAGCATACAGGTCAATCCGATCCTTTAATAAAATGTACGGAAACGAGAGTGACAAGGCGAAAGCGTTGGAGGTGCTACGGGCACTAGAGATGAAACAAGTGAGGGTAGGAACGGGGCTGGGCCGCGGCGGGTGTACATTTATGAATGAGAAGAGGCAGGAGACAGTCGTGGCGTTCGAGAGCATTTTTGAGATTGTGGCTGAGGATGATGACGGTCTTTAGAATACATGGATCTAAGTTAAGGGCATCTCTTGCGGGATTTTTACTATTCCTGCTTTGTTCTCTCAAGTCCTGTTCGGCATATCTAATGCTTGCCAACAGATGTTATATTTCCAGCGACAGGTCCAGGAAAGGCTCTTTTTTTCATTTTTTTTTATTTTTTTTTTATAGGGGATGGGAAACAGGTCGTCTTTTGTTTCTTTGTACCTAATGTGAGCTCTGAGCAGGGACGTTTGGGAAACTAGGCCCATGGATGTACATTCGAACATGCAAGACATGCGCAAGATTCCCCTTAACAATGCCAATGGATTTCAAACCGAATCAGATCTCTTAGGTTTCGCGAGAGAACGCTCGGTAATACCTGGGAAATCGGGTTTTGCGCCCTTGTTCATGTACAGATGATATCCGCGACAATGGATGCTAGGCTAATCCATTTCGTACATGTGCTGCATAGATTGCGTAAGGCCGCACTACCATCCTTGCCAGGCTGCGTGCCCATCCATTAGAGAAGGAAAAATCAAGTCCCGCCATACGATCCCATGAGTTCGTAAATAATCAACCCCAGTCAACATCTGCCCACTCCACCTCCGGGCACGCAGTTTACCCCCAAATTTCCCGTCCATCCTCTCCTACCCCGATGACCCTCCACCCGGCGCATCTTGTTTAATTGATGTAGGGGGAACGGCATGCTTGGGCGAACTTGCTGACGCGCGAGATTGTACGGACTGGCTGTGGGAGGACGAGATGGAGGAGGATGCGGCGGAGAGGTCTTTGGAGTTGACTTCGAGGTAGTGGTAGAGGACGATAAGGAGCATAGCGCAAGAGCCAAGGAAGATGGCGAGCTGGTAGAGTTGTTCGTCTGAGATCATCTTTGAGGCTTTGCTTTGTCCTTTGCAGTTGGGGTGCGTTAGCCTTTGGCCAGATAGATGGATATATTGATATGGGGACGAGGAATGCATTGCCAATGGATGTATTCGTAAGGCTGAATACATACCTGATATTCGAGCAGTTCTTGTACCACGTAACTTCAGAGCTATGATTCCACAGCTGGCAGCAGCGTCAATCCGTCGGGTGCACTCTCAGTTTTGCCCGTAATATATCTATTGTCTCCTTGTACAGTACATTTGGATGCAAGTTGACACCTCACCTAGAGGTTGACCGCCTATAGCCACATCCCTGTACTATTGTAACATTTGCCAAGCCTGCGTTTTTGCCCCCCCAACCAGGGAGAAGTCTTCTTTCTAGCACCCTCTTTCTTTGCTCCACAGCCCAGAAAAACAGCACACGAACAACGAACGGATATCAGTCACAGCTATCCAACTACACCCGCCTTCTTTCCTGTATACCATACTCCCGCCATCTATCCCTAGGGCTGGTCGTGGCTACGTTTCATATCTAGCCTATACCACATTATAGTGACACTTACCGTCTTGCTCTAGGGTCCCTTGTCAAGCGGAGACCCTCCTTTCCTCTCTTCAACGCCTGGCGCCATATCGTATATCACAACTCGGTACCTACGAATTTTGAAGTGAAAAGACCCCCAATAAAACCACATCAACCACTTACAAACGCCAAAATGCCGCCCAAGAAAGGAGGTGATCAGCCGAAGAAGACGAGGGCTACCGTGGAAGATAAGGTCAGTTGTCGATTATCAGTTGCTCTTGTTGATCTCTCTCGTCAAGTTTACAGAGCAATATTGCTAACCTATCGATCCTTTAGACCTTTGGCATGAAAAATGTACGTTTCAGTTCCCGTTAGATAATTACCCCACACATTCACGGAATAAAAATTGGGATGGGAATCTAGGACGCCGCCCGAGATTTTCACACGGCAGAAGCAACCGAATCTACCGCGGTTTATGACTAACTTTTGAATCAATACAGAAAAAAGGAGGTAGCGCAAAGAAACAAATAGCTCAGCTTCAAGCGCAAGCCCAATCAAACAAGAATGCGGACGAAAAAAGGAAAGAAGCCCAACGGCAGCAGCGCGAGAAGGATAAGGCAGCCGCAGAGCAAGCTAAGCGCGAAGCTGCAGAACTCTTCAAGCCTGTGCAAGTCCAGAAGGTCCCATTTGGCGTCGACCCCAAAACTGTCCTCTGCGTCTTCTTCAAGAAGGGCAGTTGTGAGAAGGGCAAACGATGCAAGTTCAGCCATGACCCAGCTGTGGAGCGAAAGGCACAGAAGAAAGATCTGTATTCCGATAGTAGAGATGCGGAAGAGGACAAGAAGCAGGATTTGATGGATAATTGGGACGAAGAGAAGCTGCGCAAGGTCGTGTTGAGCAAACATGGTAACCCCAAGACGACGACGGAGAAGGTCTGCAAGTACTTTATCGAGGCTGTCGAGAATCAGAAATATGGTTGGTTTTGGATTTGTCCTAATGGCGGTGATAAGTGCATGTACAAACACAGTCTGCCACCTGGGTATGTTTAAACTCACTTTTTTCAGTCAGAATGTTGGTTGTTCCCTGATCTCTAACTCGCGCAACAGATTCGTGCTTAAAACCAAAGAGCAAAGAGCCGCTGAAAAGGCTCTCATGGACAAGTCCCCCCTGAATACTCTCACTCTGGAAGATTTCCTGGAGTCCGAACGCCATAAGCTCACAGGCAACCTCACACCGGTCACCCCAGAAACATTCGCGAAGTGGAAGAAAGAACGTCTCGACAAGAAGGCTGCAGAGGAAGAGGCCCGCAAAGCTAAGGATGCCAGTGGTCGTGCCATGTTTGAAAGCGGTGACTGGCAGGCCTCCGAAAGTGAAGATGATGATGACGATGGAGATGACGACGGAGATGAATGGAATATGGAATCGTTGCGCAGAGAGACCGAACGCCTACGAGATCAATCAGAGGAGGAGCGAATTGCAAAACTCCATGGATCTTCTTCGGCTCTTACGAACGGTGCCGATTCAGAAAACCAGCCAACTCCGGTTGATGGAGCTGGATAAACAAGGAATGAAAAGCATAGGCGCATTTCTTGACACCCTTTTCTACAGGGTAGATAGGGAATCCCGGTGACGACGTCTACGTTGTTCGAGATCAAAATCCACATCCAATCATTCTATATGATGTCGGTTCTTGCTAGTTATCTTTTGCTGCTGTTGTGTCCCTCCTGCCGTCCACTAAAATTCGCGGGCTGTAGACCAAGCCCAGCAACTCAGGTGCAATGATTTCCCTGCTCTTGCTAGCGCGAAGATCACAAGTGATTACTTGCCTTTGGTTTTGGTTTTCCATTTTGATGTTTTTCTTTTCCTTATATGTCATGATTCAGATCGTGAGATGTGAAATTAGCGTGGATACCGGTGCCATTATTTATATACACTTGCTTTGATTTTCTTTTTATTGATTCTCGTTCAATCATCCTTGCATTTCTCTTTATTTTGTTGATTCCTGTTCTCAAAAGAAAACCTATAAATTCCCCACCTTTGAGAACACGGGCAAATGCGAAGGGCAAGCCTAACAGTTCCTACTCTTCTTTGGAAAATTCTCGCTCCATCTCGGGCAAAATTAGACCATTCTTTTCCATACCATTTTTCTTCTTTCCGTTTTATTTGTTACCCCGTCCGTGTCTATCGCATCCACTCCCTTATTTCATTTTTCAAGATTTCCAGTAATTGCTTTTGAGATGTCTTTAAAACCTAACTACCGATTCCATTGATGGGGTTTTCAACATCGATCTGGACGAAAGATACCAATATCATTCCTCAGGTCAGTGTTCAGTGCCCAACCAATCACAAGCATGTCAAGGCTAGACTACCTGCGGGCGGGTGGAGGAGTACTGCTATCAATCACTTCAATTGTGTATTGTACTGCAGGTATGATGACAGAATATTTACGCGAAAAAAGGGAAAAAAGGGATCTTCTGATGAATATACAAACAAAGCTTGGTGTCACCCCCAGATACACAAAGGCCCAGTGTGTCTTGTCTTCAATTGGAATTTTGAATTTGAGAGAATGTTCATGACGTCTTTTCTTTGAGTGAGCTCTCGAAAGGCTCAATCGGCCAAAGCATGCCCTTGTTCTCCTAGGGCTAAGACCCCAGAGTTGGAGTTATATTCAGCAGCATAGCACAAAATAAAGTACGCCGCTAGCCTCCAGACAACGCTCATCGCTTGCCATGGCTTTCATGTCATCAGGCCAATTTTTCGTATCCTTTCCAGAAAGAATCTCCAGGCCATGATGATTCTGTTACTGAAACAATATTCATGTTGCTGCTAGCTATTTCCTCCTGATCAACAACGCATACAAGGCTTTTGTCTTTTCTCCTTTCATTCTCCCAACAATGGGCTGGTCAAATCCTTCTTCGCGAGGTCCACGGAAGGATTACTGCCAGAACCTGCTGTGCCTTGTCGATTGAAGTTGTTTCTTTCATAAAGCGAAATGTGGAGTAGTCGAGCCATATCATTTCTAATACTCAGGGGAATGGAATGAATGCAAAATGATCGTGGCCAACATCGACGTTCCTATAAAACCTCACTCCCGCATGGGCAATTATGTCTATCAAATCACCATCAAGCAACCGCCCTTTTTCCTCTACTATTCAAATTGCCTCGAAAACTCTCGAATTCCGCCCTCCCTTCATACTTTGCCGTTGGTTAACTATGGACAACCGTCCCCGAAGCCCAACGCCTAATTCCGGTAGCCCATACAAGAATACATATCCGGTCCTCAGAAGCTCTCTTAGCCATGATATCCTCCCAAGGTCAAGCACTGGTGAGCGAAATACACATTGCCATTTGGAAATAACAACAATTCAGTTCTAAAATATTCCTCCCTATTTCTTATTAACCATGATATAGCCTCCAGGCCTAAGGGACCTAACCACAGCAACGATCCCGATGCCGATTCGGAGCCCGAGCACAACCTGTATGGTGAGCTAAGCAGGAGTCAGTCTCCCACTCACTATTCTCCGCGTACTTCAGCGTTCCCAGACGTTGGCAACTCTCGTAACCAGACAGCCTCAGCATCAGCGAATACGCAACCTCGTCGATTCCGTGCTACGGATTTCGGGTCACCAGTACAAGAATCAAAGGCATTTGAACATAATAGCAATTCACTCACCGTAGAATCTAATCAACTCCGGGATCTAAACAGCCGGCTGTTTGAAATCTACACAGATCCGAGCACAGACGCGGGCGCAGATGCAGAAGAACCCGTCAGGGTTTATCACAAGTTACAGCAGTTACCCCCGGCTCTCGTACATCGCCGATGCGGTGATGAAAAAGGGAATGACCACTCTGTAACTGTCAACGACAACAAAGACAAAGACGGCAACAAAGAAAACATTCCTCCCGACACTACCATACCACTTGAAGGAGGAAGGTCAAGGCTGCGCGGGGACAGATACCGGCGACCACTGGGGCAGCTGAATCCATCTGATTTCTACCCTGGCGATATAAGCACGTGCGCGAACTGCTCGCGCAACATCATCGGGGCCGGGGCTGGCAATTTGCGCATGAATGATGATGATGGGGATGTGTTCTTGGGCGGCCCTGGTGCCGGGTGGGCAAGCGGGGCAAACCGGTGCCAGATCCGGTGTTTTAGGTGTTGGAAGTGAACTGGGGTATTCCATTTGGTGCTCTTCCCATCGGAGGCTCCGGATTTGCCCTTTTTTTTTCAATTTTTTGGTGGCTATGCCCCGGAAAATTCTTTTTTACTCTTGTCCCCGTTTTTGCTTATTTTTGTTTCTTTCCCTTAGTCCTTCCATATGTTAGCATTACCGTTAAATAGAAAAGAAGCTTCATTGATTGAAAAGCTAGCTAAGGGGAGGCATAGATAATAGGGGTATAGATGAAGGAGCCAAGGATTGAATGGCCACAGCGGCCCCCAGCTCCTTTCAGGCGTAGTTCCCCCTTCCTTGTTTTTTTTTTTTTCTCTCTTACAAGCAATAGTCCTTTCTTTTTTTAAGCATTGTTTACTGTTTTGTTTTCCTTAAAAAGGGGGGATCTAGTTATTTTCTTACGGGGCTTGTATATATAACCTTGTGTTTTCTATAAAGAGTTGGAATGTGTTGTCATATAGGAAACGTGCAAGCTATATCTTCTGGAAATACTGAAAATACTTATGTCCTTGTATGGAGAATATGCCTCCCGTGGCTTCATTTATTTACTTGTAGTTTCTTGTTATCTCTTCTATCAGAGGGTTGGAAAGCGGCGACCACAGAGTGTCTATTCCTGCATTTTCAACAGTTATACAATAACACTGAAGAAACATATCAAAGGCTTGAAAAAAGGGAAGAGCCTCAATCCATAAGCTAGAATTCACTAGTATATGTCCCTGCTCTGTATGCATATGTAACAACCTCAACGCCAACTATTTTGAATTCTTTTGCTTCATACAAGTGAAACTTCAAATAACAGAAGTGACTAGTAATAGACATAGTTACGCATTTTTACACAAAATGCAAGTAAATAAGGTAAAAAAATACGGCGGGCAGTCCAGTCTAACAGAGACAGATGTAGAAATAGTCTAGATATGAAGATTCAATCATCATTGTCATTGTCATGTCATGTTATTATGTTCATTCAGCTGTAAAACACTTAAACACTCAAGAAACCTTCTCTCATCACAGCCACAGTCATTAACACAGACATCAGCATCACGCCCACCATCTCAATCACCCTCCGATTCCTACAACCCCAGATGCGCACATCAACCCACATCGTCCGCAGCAGATTCCCAGCAGCCCGCTCGCGCATGGCAGCCCGCAGGCCCGGTAAGCCATCGAGGCTGTCGGAGTTCATCTTGACCTGGTAGGCGTGCAGTTCGTTCTTAGCGATCTTGTTGGAGGCCCAGTGGCCCATTGTCTCGCGGTCCTGCAGGTATGGCTTCGGGGCGTTGGTGGTTGGGTCCGTGGTGAGGGCGAGGCGGGGGACGCCGTAGCCGCAGGATGTTTGAACCTATATATATGTATATATATATTTATCAATATAACCCCGGCAATGGTGGTAAGATAAGATTGAAGGGTAGGAAGGTAAGAAAACAAATAAACAGTCTTTTTAAGGAGAAAAGATAAAAACCACCTTGAAGACGTCGAGCACCATGACGGCCCGCGCACTCTCGACGTACTTGTCGGCCAACTGCATCTGGGCCAACATGGGATGGAAGGGCGGCTCATTCCACTCGATGACGGAACCCGTGCAGAAGAGACGCAGGATGCGCGGGGAGGCGTTGAAGGAGCAGAACATGAGGGTCATGCGGCCATTCTCGCGTAGGTGGCTGATGGACTCGTTGCCGGAGCCTGTGGCATCGAGATAGGCGACCCTGGTTGGGGAGAGGACGGCGAGGGAGGCGGCGGGAAGGCCCTTGGGGGAGAGGTTGATGTGGGCGCCGGTGGAGGGGGCGGAAGCGACGAAGAAGACAGGCTGGCGGAGCAGCCAGTCGCGGAGGTCGGGCGGGATGCAGTCGAAGAAGGCCACCATTATTATATTCTTTTATTTGGGGATCATAAAGAAGGGAAGCAGGTAAAATCAAAATTAAATTTAAATTAAATTAAAAAAAAAAAAGAAAAAAAAAAGAAAAAAAAAAGAAAGTCGACCATCCCATTCGAGTCCGTGCCTGTGCAGCGGCGGTGTGATCTGGTGCCGCCATCGCCGGGGAGCCCGTTCTCTGCAGAATTGCTTCCCTCGAGGATGCGGGCCATTGCTTAGCGCGCCAACAGCCAAGTCGTGGATTACTCGCACGAGTGTGGGAGAAGAATCTAATTAATAAATTCTCGCGACCCGGCGATTCGAACCAGGCACCTTGCAACCGTTCCCGGTTCCGCTGGTTGGGGGTTTTGTTACCCAATCCACAGACACAGAGCCGATGCGGGAGATCTCCATTCGACCACGACAGCCATAATTGGAATTCATCCAGCGCTAATCTGGTATATATTATTACCTATCATGGTTTATCCACCTTCCTTCCAATTTCCGCTATTATTTCCTCCATTCTTCCGTGTTTTATCCGAGGCTACTACGTATTTACCCCGCACGAATAAACTGTGATTGGGAAATAGAAATCGACATGATGAAAGACAAGACACAACATTTGTTTACAAATGATGAAATTATTAACTAGTTGGTAGTTCGCCTAAAACAATAATACTAAAAATAATAATAGTAAAAATAGTAACGAAGTAGTCATGATCATCAACAAGATGATGATTATTGATGATGATGAATGATGATGATGATGATGATCATGATGATGAAAATACTAGGGGTTTGTCGCTGGAGAGGAGGCGGGGGGAAAATAGAACCGCGCTGCGGCCATCAACGGCAAGATGCGGAGGTTCATTTAACATTAATTGAACAAGAATAACATTTTGATATGTTCCATTTATTTATATATACTCTAGTAACTTAAACAGAAGCTTCGTTATTATTAGACTTCCCCCCCCCGCCTTTGCCCTTTGCCCGCCCACACCGCGGCTAGCATGAATGTATTATTGATTGATGTATTTCTATTTCATCCCTAATTGACTATCTTGTCTGGTGTCTGGTATCTGGTATCTTGGTATCTGGTATCTATTATCTTGGGCGGTTCTGGCGTCATTGCCCCAGCAGGCTTGCTCTTTCGGCCGTTATATCTTCTCCTCCATCCCTTCCATTCCCTCCTCCACCACCACCAGTTCCACCTTCCACCTTCCACCTTCCACCTTCCACCTCCTTTATATCACCCCAGGTTTTCCTTTCTCTTCTCTTCTACCATTTTTCAACCCTTCCTTCTTCCTCTCGTCATCTTCTTCCCTCCATCATCTCTTCATTATCTCTATCATCATCATCATCTTCTTCTTCTTCTCATCATCTCCATCATCATCCCTATCAATCTTCATCCCACTCTCCTCAGCTATTCATCCCGCCCGCCCATCATGGCTCTCTCTCAGAAAATCACTACCCCGACCTGCACATACGAGCAGCCCCTCGGCCTGTAAGCGACCCCCCCCCCCTTTTTTTTTTCACAAATTTCCCTCTCCAATCTCCTCGTAATATTGTAATATTGCAATATATATATATACCCATTCTAACTAACCTCCATCCAGCTTCATCAACAACCAGTTCGTCAAGGGCGTCGAGGGCCGTACTTTCGAGACCATCAACCCCCATAATGAAAAACCCATCACCGCCGTCCACGAGGCCACAGAGAAAGATGTCGATATCGCCGTCGCCGCTGCCCGTGCCGCCTTCAATGGGCCCTGGAAACATGTCACCCCGACAAACCGTGGCCGCATGCTCATCAAGCTGGCTGAGCTTATGGAACAGCACAGTGATACCCTGGCTGCTATCGAAGCCCTGGACAACGGCAAGGGCCTTCTCCATCGCCAAGATCGACGTCGCCAACTCTGCTGGCTGTATCAGATACTATGGCGGCTGGGCGGACAAGATTCACGGCAAGGTCATCGACACAGACTCCGAGTCCGTTCAACTATACCCGTCACGAGCCCATTGGTGTCTGCGGCCAGATCATCCCCTGGAACTTCCCCTTGCTC